ATCCAGTGGGGACCCCATGCCCACTTCTCAGACCCAGGGGAACCACTCTCCTGAAATCGTGCTGCATGGGCTCCTGAGTTCAGCCTCCAGGGTCGCATGACAGCACTTCCTGGGATGCGGAGGGCAAATCAGGAAGGGAAGTAGGCTAGGGCTTGTTGCCAGAGGCATTCTCAGATGGGCCCCAGATTGCTGCCCCTGGGCATCCACATGTTCCATGACCTTCACCCTGCAGTATTAATAGACCTGTGAATGTGCACATGTCTCTCTTGCAATCAGGTTGTGTTATTTGGCAACACTGAAGGGATGTTTGCAGATGTAACTGAGGTCTTTAAATAGGTATCATTGGTGGCACATGTCTGTGTCCAGCAGATGAGGATTTGGGTGAGTTTACTTGATAGTGTTTTGCAGAATGCTTTCAGAGTAGTGCACTATATTGATTATTCTTACCTACTATATTTCTGATCAGAAAATAATATTTTATTTGGATTTTGTGAATAAAAACTTTATACTGAAAACAAAAACAAAAACAAAAACAAAACCCAAGTCCTTGTGCTTGCCAGACAGGCACTCAGACTGCTGAGCTATTTCCCTGGCCTCAGTGAACTGTTATTAAACACAACAATCTTAGCTACTCAGGAGGCTGAAGCAGTAGGATCATAAATTTTAAGGCTGGGTGGGGCAACTTTAATGAGATCCTGTCTAAAAAAGGAAAGGCCTGGGAATATAACTCAGTGCAGAGGCCTTGGATTCCCAGTGCTCCAAAATAAACAATTAAAATTTTAAAACGATTAGAAATAAATTTAACTGGCCATGATAGCACCTACAATCCCAGCACTCAGGAGGCTGGGGCAGGAGGGTCTCCTTGAGGTTGAGGCTAGCCTATGATAGTGAGTTCAAAGCCAACCTGAACTGTGTAGTGAGACCCTATCTAAAAAAGGAGGGGGCATGGCTGGAGTTATAGTTCAGTAGTAGGGCAATGGGGTTAATCTCAGTACTGAAAGAAAAAAAGATTCAGGTTGGTGGCAGCACTGACAACCAGAGTGGGTCAGAGGCAGAAGAAGGGTGACACGGAGGGTGCCGCTAGCTTCCTGCTGGGGTGATGCCCATCAGTCAATAAAGGAGGACAGCTCCTTACCTGCTGGCCCTGCTGGTGACCTTGGGAAGTCTTAGGAATGCCAAGGGCAGCTAGATACCCGAGTCTGGGCTGCAGGAAAGAGGGCCAGGCTGGGGCTGCCAAAGACCAACCAACACTGCCCCGTGAGGGTAGACGTGCAGGCGGGGCGTGTCCAGCAACCAGGACCCCAATCCCCATGCTTAGAGATTGGGTGGTGTCAGAGAGCTCACTCAGGTGCTGGGCGGGAGAAGCCATCAGGAAGGCTCGAGGAAGGGTGAGGGGTGCTCAGGGGAGCTTTGTGAAGAAGCGACTGCTGGCCTGGGACCAGGAGGTCCTTATAGAGTCTTGACAGAAGAGATGGGGAGGACGGAAGACAGAGCCCTGAGGAGTGTTTTCATGAAGCTCATGCTACGGCGTTAGGGGCAAGGCCAGGACAGCCAGTGGCGCCTAGAGCTGGCCGTTGCCATTGCTTCCAAAGTTGGAGTTCCTTGTCCACACTTCTGCTCTTCCTTGGGAGTTACTTTTGTAAAGATAGTTGCACTGTTTGCTAGGCTAGTCTTGAAGTCCCCTGCACAAGCAATCCTGCCTCAGCCTCCTGAGTAGCTGGGACTATAGGCATGTTCCACTGTGCCCAGCTGATTTTTTTTTAATTCATGAGACAATGTTTTAAAGTTGTGCCAAGGACACAGAGACACATGCCCGTGCCCTGTGGTGCAGATGTAATCTTTTTTTTTGTATGTGTAGTACTGAGGATTGAACCTGGGCACTCCCACACACTAGGCAAGAACTCTACAGATGAACACAACCCCATCTCTTTTAGTTTATTTTTTAAAATTTGCTTTTGATTTTGTTTTGAGACAGGGTCACACTATGTAGCCTAGGCTGGCCTTGAACCAGCTATGTAGATCAGGCAGAATTCAAACTTAGAATCCTGTTGCTTCAGCCTCCATAGTGCTGGGGTTACAGGTGTGTGTCACTGCACCTGGCTTCTTTTTTTTTTTTTTTTTAAATATTTATTTATTTTTATTTATTACATTTATTTATTGTGTGTGTGTGTGGCCAGCTCAGCCCACCAGGGGGCGGGGCTGGCTGGCATGTGGTGCTGGGGATCGAACCGTGGTCCCTGTGCTTCGCCAAGCTTGATTCAAGTAGGTGCTTTAGACCACTGAGCCATCTCTCCAGCCCCTGGCTTCTTTTTATTAAAAAAATTACTTCTTAAATTGGGCATGCTGATGTGACACGCACCTGTAACCTCGGCCGTCCAAAGGCTGAGGCAGGGGAAATGCCATGAGTTTCACATCAGCCTGAGCCACAGAGTAAGTTCAAAGACAGTGTGAGCTACATAATGAGACCTTGTCTCAAAAAAAAAAAAAAAAAAAAGGTTGTCACCCATTCTATAGGGTGGCAGAAGAAAAAAAAAAAAAAAAGAAGGAAAAAAAGAGTGATTTGTTTTTTTCAACAGATGATATTATCTCTGTATGATGGGAGACCCAGAGGATGTGGTTTTTTTTTTTTTCCCCCCCAGAACCGGGTATTGAACTCAGGTCCTTGCACTTGCCAGGGAAGCACTTATTCTACTGAGCCATCTCCCCGGCCCGAGAGGATGTGGGTTACCACAGAAAGCCCACCACACTGCTGGCCCTTAGAGAAGAAACAAAACATGCGTGTGCTGCAGTCTCAGCGGCCACGGCTGCCCACGCAGCAGTCCTCTACACTGATGAATGCCTGAAGTAATGGCCACCACTCTGAGCACCTCTTGTAATTGTCAAAGCCAAAGGCAACCTGTATTAATCTCATGCTCTCAATAAATTTATTTATTTATTTTTTGGCGGAACCAGGGATTGAACTCAGATCCTTGTGTTTGCCAGTCAAGCCCTTATCCTACTGAGCCATCTCCCCGGCCCCTCTCAATAAATTTAGTACTAAAATATTTATACAAGTTTTTCTTTTCCTGAAATGTGTATACATGTCTTTTGGCAAACGCTATCATTAATTTGGCAGAATGAATCCAAGAAGTGCTCTACCACAAAACTACATCCCCAACTTTTTTTTTTTTTGACAAGAGTTTTGCTAAATTGCTCAGGTGGGACTTGAACCTTTCAGCCTCTTGCCTTAGTCTCCCAATAGGGGATTATGGGCATCAGCCACTACGCCTGGCTTACAATGGGGTGTTTTGGGACAAACCTGGGCACAGCATGGACAAGGAAGCACCGAATGGGCTGCTGAGGGCCCTTACTGCAGGACCCACAGCAGCATCTAGGATAAAGACCGTTGGTGTTCTGTGACAACACATAGCTGAGACGGCTCCCAGCTCTGGAACCAGAGAAGTATAGCCGTGAGTGGCTGTTTCTCGGTTACTTCTCTCTTATTTGCTGGGACAAAATACCTGGAACCCAAAATTAAGGAAGGAAAAGTTTATTTAGCTGACAGTTTGTGGATGTTTCAGTCCATACAAAGCTGGCTCCAAGGCACATGGTAGAGGGCAGCAGTTCATGGTGGCAGAAAACAGCAAGAGTAAATGGAAGGAGTAGCAGCAACAATGGCTGCAGAGAGCAAGTCTGTCTCCCTTATGTTGCATTCAGGCTATGTGCCCCAGGCTGGGTGTAGCACTCTCACCCATAGTCCCTGTGTTGGGTCATAAATTAATCACAATCACTAGAAGTCTGCCCCATAACTGCATGAGGTTTTTGGAGGACAACTAGACACAAACCATAATAGGCTGACACCAGCTCCATTGGCTGAGTGGATCCGGAGCAGACCTGGGTGGCCTGAGAACTTGTCCACATCCACAGGGGTCCTCAGTCCAAGCACTGTGGCCTACTCACACCCCCACACCAGCCACTGTCAGCAACCTGAGTGTCCCCAAGAGGGAAAAGTTGGTGTTCCCCCAACTTGTCCTCATGACCACTTTTGGGTACCCAAAAAGCCTAGCCAAGGTATGGCAGATTGTGACGCATGAATAGGGAGAATAACAGTCAGACCTGTGGAGACCTGGGGTGCAGGCTCCTGCTCGCCATCCCTGTAGTTCAGGCATCTTCTTCTGGCGGTGGCACCCTCTGTGGTTTGCACATTTGTAGCACAGAGGCTCTGATGGGGTGCCCTGCTCAGCCTCAAGTGGGGTGCCTCATGGTCAGATACAGCCACGGTGTTAAGTGTCCACGGCTAAGGGCCACCAGTGTGGGGTGATTGGCAGACAGCAGTGGTATTGCTTAGGTGATGCCTGTCAAATCATTAAGCCTTCTTCCTATTTCTAGTACTGGTGATTTAACCCAGGGCCTTTACCTCAAGTCCACCTATTCAGCTGTTCTGTTTTTATTTTCAGACAGGGTCTCACTAAATTACTAAGTTGCCCAGGCTGGGCTTGAACTTGGGATCCTCCTGCTTCAGCCTCCCAGAGTGCTCAATTACAGGCATATGCCATTACATCTAGCTTAGACCACCTTGACTAACTGGTGGGTGGGACCAGGGAAGCCAGTAGTTAGGGTCAGGTCATGGGCCAGAATGACAGGTGGGAGTTAGCTGTCCAGAAGGTAGTAGTGGGTGTGGGCTGGCTCACTCTACTGGGTGCCACTCCTATGTTAGCTTGCCTAGGCTTGTGCAAGCAAGCTCACAGCTGAGAGGCAGGGGCCGCAGACGCGACGGGCCGCGCTCAGCAACACAATCTCTCCATCAGTCTAGAGCGCATGATGCTGCCTCACCACCAGACCTCAGCATCCCCTCCTGAGGTCCCACTCCATATCCCCCACCCCTCTTTGTGACCACCTCTGCCCAGGGCCTGCCGAACCAAACCTAGCACTTCCCAAACACATGGCCCCGGGACTCAAGAGCATGTGACATTGTGGTGGCCACCTATTGTCACAGGTGGGATGGAGATACACAACAGGCCTGCAGTAAGACAGGAAACAGGATTTATTGGAGGAAGCAGATGAGCAGAGGGCCAAGGGCACACAAGCTGTCACTACTCAACAGGGGATGACAGTTCTGTGGCCAGGCTGCCAGGAGAGGGGACCCTGCCACCACACTGCACATTTCCTCCAGTATTACAGGGTGGGGACGGGGGCCTGCTGTCTGGGGCACCCTTGTTGGCATGCAGGAGGCTCTGCAGTTCCTGGCAGGTGTTCCTGTGCCCCTTGGAGGACAGCTCAGCCAGACCACCTTGGTAGGCACTTTGCTTGCTTCCCAGTGGGAGGAGGGCTGGACCTCGTCAACAGCTGACTCTCTGCCCTCATGCTGTGGGTAAATGCAGGTGACCAAGGGCCACCATGCAGTCCAGTGTCTGCCCAGCGCTGGCTGCCACTTCTGGGAAGGACGCTTGCATGGGAATTGCACACAGGGGCTCGCCAGTCCACCTGGGAACTGCTCCACTGTGCTAGGGGCCGACTGTACCCAGGGGGCAGCAGGTGGCCAAAGACCAGGAAGTGCCACCCCCACAGGAGATACCCTGTGCGGCCTGTGCCAGTCTGTGAAGGGTGCTCTCCAGAAGGAGCAAAAGCCCCTGCCTGTGCTGGCCCGGGGGATGTTATTTCATAGGGCCACGTGGGACCCCACCTGCTACAAAGTCCTTGCAAAGTCTGTTCTCCGGCGCTTGTGGCCCTGGGCAGCAGAGGTGATGGGGCCTCTCTGTCCCATCCCGATGCTCCCCCCAGAGCTTTCTGTGCCCTGCGCTGCACCTTCCTGCCCACCATGTGCCACCAGCTCAGAGAGCTATTTTTGCTGACACAAAGACACTGTCCAAGCACTGGGAGACCTGTGAGGAAACAGCCACAGATACTTGGGAGAATGAAAGAACTTGTCAAGCAACTCTAGATGGGTGGAAAATGCCTCTGTGGATGGAGGGGAAACATCTGGGTCACCAGCCAATGCCGCTCTGCTGCCTGCATGGAGACATCTCACTGGGCCTCGACATCTGGGCTTGTCTCCTCCACGTTTCTGATTTCAAGGGGACACATATGATTACAAAGATGGTGCAACACATGATTAAAAAAAAAAAAAAAAAGACCCAGGACTCCTGGAATCCTTTTCCCAAGAGATAACCATCAGCTGGGTCCTCTTTACACAAACACACCCTAGGCAACTGTTCTATCACTGAGCATGCTCCAGCCTGGAGCACCCCTTTGCACTGGGCTCCACTCCCAGCCATTTACAAGATTTTGATTTTAAAAGTCAGGTGTATTGGTGTACACTTGTAATACAAGTACTGTGTGTGTGTGTGTGGGGGGGAAGCTAGGAGGGTCACAAATTCAAGCCAGCCTGGGCAATTCAGCAATTTAAGGAGCTGTCTCAAAATAAAACATAAAATTAAAGGGCTCCCTGTCTTTAAAAAAAAAAATATGCTGGTGATATAGCTCAGTAGTAGACCATCCAAGGATTTGATCTTCCAGTACTGCCAACATAAACATTAAGAATTTTTTTTTTTTTTTTTTAGGCAGGATCTTACCTGGCTCAAAAGTTGCCCAGGCTGGCCTCACAGCTGGGATTCCAGGCATGATACACCATACCTGGCTAAGTGCAAACTTTGATTGGGGATCAGTCACACAGGAATAGCCTGCCTGGATGACTGGCAGCTGTAACAGGAATTCCAGACTCTCAGAAGAAAAAGCAGTGTTCAGCAAAACTCCAAATGAGTGAGCCAGCCCCATCACCAGGGACAACACTGAATCAGCAGCGGGAAGTGTTCACACCAGGCTCCTGGATGCCAGTGAAGTCCCTGCTCCAGCAAGCATGTGTCCTACCAGAGGGGTTCAGGATGTTACAGCACTCTTGTGTTCCTGAGATAATCTCAGTCGGTCCTGGTGTATAATCTTTTTTAATATGCTGGATTCTGTTTGCTGGTCCAGGACTTCGACATCCATATTCCTAAGGAAGCTGGTCTGTAGCTTTTCTTGTGATGGCTTTGTTTGGTTTTGTTGTCAGGGAAATACTGGCCTTACACAATGCATTGGGAGCTCCCTTCTCTTATTGGAAAGAACTCGTGTTAATTCTTTTTTATTTATTTCTTTTTTGAGACAGGCTCTTGGTATGTAGTTCAGGTTGGTCTTAGACTCGGGTGTTTAGCCCAGGCTGGCCTCGAAGGCAAGGTAATCCTCCTGCCTCAGCTTTCCCAGTGTTGGCATTACAGAGGTGCACCACCACACCTGGTGATTTTAATAATCTGAGTCTTCTCTTTCTAAATTTGTGTGTCAGTCTAGGTAAAATTTGTCAATTCTGTTGAACCTTTCAAAAACTCAATTTGGGATTTATTAATTTTATTATTTTTTCTATAATCTGTATTACTTTTTCTTTTTCTTTCTTTCTTTTTTTTTTTTTTTTCCTCATTCAACAGATTTTATTCATCTGACCCTGGGACCCGGCAGGCCCAACCCAGACAGAATCAGACCCAGCCTGCCCAGCGACCCTCTTTGTGGCTCAGCCTGGGATGAAACACTCGCTGCGGAGGATGGGTCTGGTTGCATGGAGTCCAGACTGGACGGGGCACCTTACCCACACAGAATGTATTATTTTTTTCTGCTTGCTTTTGGTTTCATTTGCTCTGCATTTTAAATGTATTCTCATGTAAGTTGTTGTTGATCTGGCTTCATTCTCCCTCCCCCTTCTTTTGAGATGGGGCCTCAATTACATAGTTCAGGTAGGCCTCAAACTCATGATCCTCCTGCCTCAGCCTCTCTTTTTGTTATTGTTGTTGTTTTAAAGACAGAGTCTTCCTGTATAGTTCATGCTTGAACTCACTATGTAGCCCAGGGCAGCTTGAACTCATGGCAATCCTCTTGCCACAGCCTCCCAAGTGCTGGGATTATAGGTATCCACCACCAGCACTGGTTCATTTTTTTCTTTCTTTTTTTTTTTTGGTGGAACTGGGGATTGAACTCAGACCCTTGAGCACTTATTCTACTGAGCCATCTCCCCGGCCCCCTCATTTTTTTCTTTTAATGTAAGTGTTTAAAACTATAAATTCCCCTCTAAGCACTCCTCCTCCTCCTCCTTCACCTTTTCCTCTTTTTCTTCTTCCTCCTCCTCTTCTTTAGTGGTAGTGGTAATGGAGATTGAACTCAGGGCTTTCATTTCCAGCTCTTTTAATTAGTTAATTCATTTTTATTTTTATTTTGCTGTGCTGGAAATCAAACCTAGAGCCTGAATGCTAAGCAATATCCCAGCCCTTTTTGTTTATTTATTTGTTTGAATTTTGAGACACGTTCTCATTGAGTTGCTCAGTTGCCCAGTCTGGACTCAAACTAAAGATCTTCCTGCCTCTGCCTCTCAAGAGTGCTAGGGTTATGAGCATGTACCACACTTGGCTTCTAAGGACTGCTTTTCCTATATCTCATAGGTTTTGGTATACTGTATATATATTTTTTAAATTTATAATTTTCTGGTATGATGAATTTCTTGGTCCACTGTTTTTGTTGTTTTGTTTTCTTTTGAATGCATTGCTTAATTTCCATATACCCATTTTCCAAATTTTTTGTTACCGATTTCTAATTTCATTCCATTGTAGTCAGAAAACATACTACCCTTTCCCCCAACCCAATGCAGTTCTAGCTAGCCTGAGCTCACTTTGTATCCCAGACTGGCCTTGAAATTCACAACGATCCTCCTTCCTCAGCCTCCTGAGTAACAGATATACTTTGTGTGATGATTTCAATTCTTTCAAATTTGAAGAATTTAAATTTGAAAGAATTGCCTAGATATGGCCTAGATATGGCCTATCCCAGGGCATATCCCACGTGTCCTTGAGAAGAGATTAATTTTCCTGCGGTTCGTGGCTCCCTGCTCCTGTACTCTCATCTCCCTGCTCACTTAGTGAGCTGCCATGGCTGAGGACTCATGAGGCCCTAAGGACAGGCCATGTGCAAGGGCCTGGGCCCTGACGCCCACAGCGTGATGCGTGCTTCACTCTGGAAGGGGCCCCGGGCCACTGGAGCCTCCACATGATGGCTGTAGCCCTGGCAGCCTGCTTTCTTCAAATGCAGAAGAGATCCCAAGTCAGAATCACACAGCCCAACCACTCCTGCCATCTGGACCCAGAAAAACTGAGAGACAGGTAATGAGTACAATTACCTACAAATCTGCTGGCTTTCAGAACAGGTCTCCATGTACAGTTGAGCTTCAGGCAGAAGTTTTATCTTTTCTGGAGAAAAAAATTGAAAATATCAATTAAGAATTCTTTTAGTAGACCACCTTTCAGTAATTTGCCAAAATGATGAAGACAAAAGCAAAAAGCAAAGGATCCCAGTGTATGTTCTCTATGCCCTTTAGAAAACATGGTGCTGTTCCTTTCACATATATGTAAATCTATCAGAAGGGTGATACTGTAGACATCATGGGAAGGGGGACTTTTTCTTTTTTGGCGGTACCAGGGATTGAACTCGGGATGTTGCACTTGCCAGACAAGCGCTTACACCACCGAGCTATATCCCCAGCTACACACACACACACACAAATAAATAAATTAATTAATTAAAAAAAAATAAAAACGCTGGGATGTGGGATGTTGCTTACACTCAGATATAGGGCAAAAGTGCAACAATGTAGTGTGTTCCCCAGCATGTTATAAACAAACTAGTTCAGGGCAAGATGCTTGCTAAGAGAATTGATGCATGTGTATTAAACACATTAAGGGCTCTAAGGGCCCAGGGAGACTCCTGAACATGCAGAGGCGAATGACCAGAAAAAGGAGGAAGCCAAAGAGAAAGTCCTCTGGGTTCAGCGGGCCTGGCTTGCCCACAGCAGCGCACTGTGAGACTCGTAGGAGACAGCCTGAGCTGCTGGAAGCCCCTCCCTGGGAACTCGTGGCACAAAGTACGAGGCAGCTCTGCCCCTCGGCACCTAATGAGCAGCAGGGTATGCTAGGTTCTGGGCTCAACATCTAGTTCTGCTAAAAATAATATAAGGTTCTTTGACTTACAAGGATGAAAACCTAAGGGTGATTTTCTTTGAGGGATGTCTTTTTTTTTTTTTTGCGGAACCGGGGATTGAACTCAGGCCCTTGTGCTTTCCAGGCAAGCGCTTATTCTACTGAGCCATCTCCCCACCCCAAGCCATCTCCCCACCCGTCTTTTGTTTTGTTTTTTCAGACAGGACCTCACGGCTCTTACGTAGTTCAGGGTTGCCCCAAACTCACCACGTAACTCTGATTTTTTTTCTGTATCTTTAGGATAGGGTCTATAGGGTCTCACTACGTAGATCAGACTTGTAGTGATTCTCCTGTTTTCAGCCTACCAAGTGCTGGGATTACAAGTATGTGCCACCACACCCAGTCTCAATCACCATCTCAGCATGCCCTGGGGGCAGGGTCAGCATGGCACACTGGGGATGGAACCCTGGCCACTGCACTCTGCCTAAGCAGGCGCTTTAGTCTGCTGAGCTATCAGGCCAGCCCTCACTATGTAACTCTGGCTGGACTCAAACTCACAGTGACCTTCCTGGCTTACCTCCTGAGTGCTGGGATTACAGGAGTGCACCCCCCCATGCCCAAGTGTGTGTGTGTGTGTGTGTGTGTGTGTCCTCAGCACTAAATACTTAGAGCAGATTCTCACTGTATTCAGTTAGCTGTGTCACTTTCTCTTCTCATTTAGTATTTTTCTTGCTAAAAGATGTGAAGTGGATTACTGTGCAATAAATATTTACCCAACTGGTTAGAAAATGAACAACTATTTATGGAATATTTTATTGGCTTAAGCAGTCATTCTAAGTCACTATGGGAAAAGATGTATGAAAATAAATAGAAGAGAATCTATGGTATTACAGGTGAGCTAGGAAGAATTTATCACTGAGAAATACATATTTTAAGAATCAAACATTTGCTTTTACAGCCCAGTACTTAAATCTAAATTGTTTGAAGCACACACATGCATATAGCACATGCTCGCTCTCTTCCCTCTCCCACCTCCCCTCCTCCTCCTCTTCTTCTTCCTCTCTCCCTCTCCCCTTCCTCCTCCTCTTCTCTCTCTGTCTCTTTCTCTGTCTCTGTCTCTCTGTCTCTGTCTGTCTCTGTCTGTCTCTGTCTGTCTCTGTCTGTCTCTCTCTTTCTTTCTCTTGGAAGCTGACTCAGTCAATGACACACCTGGCTAGAGATGAACTTAAGGCTCCTAACATAAACAGGCAGAATGGCTGTGAGAAGCACTGGGAATTCAAGCTTTCCAACACCCCCAAACTACCTGTGCCAGGTAAAATAAGCTACTTGCGATCCTAAGTATTTGCCTTCAGCCCGTGTCATCAGAAACTAGGAATCCACTCAATCTCAAAGAATGGACAGCGCCACTCTACCAAAGCCTCCTGTGACCTTTACTTCTTGTGTAAGCCAGCCTGAGTCTTCTCATGGAAATTTATGTTTTTAAAGAAAAAATCAAGTATTTCCTGGCTGCCATACACCTTGGATTCATTTCTACTTTGCACAACAGGGCCCTTAATGCTCATAAGAATTAACAGAAGACACGCTTCCCACAGGCTGGCTTTATACCTATTTATGTGAAAAGAACCATCCTCAATTCAATAGAATTAATTATTTGTAAACAATGTATATGAGTGTGTGCACAGGCACACACAAACATTAGCACATCCTCTTTCTCAACATATTTTCATGAGGCAATGACCTGCGGAAAGTTAAGATGTCTGAGAAGAAAAGCAAAGAGAAACAGCAGTTGGAATGCAACCTGGTTTTAAGGAGAGAAATGTGAGTATGGTTTCAGGTCAAGGAGAAGCAGTTAGTGGGGAAGAGGGGGAATGTTCCCGAAGAGCAGAAGGGTCAGGTTGAGGCTCCTCAGGTACAAATTTTCTGGCCAGCAGACACCAACACACTGCAGCCCTCATGTGTCCCCGGCCTGTGACACCCACACTGCCTGTGTGTACCTGAGTCCTCCTGCTGGGCTGGGTTGGGGAGCCGCTCACGCTGCCGCAGGGCCTCCAGGCCGGCCAGGTCAGGCAGGTGGCAGTGGCTGCGCATGACCATCACGCGCCGGCCCTGGGTGATGGCACGGCTGCGGCAGCCCAGCCGGGCCTGGTCCCGGCACATCCAATACACCTTTTCACCGGCAGCCTTCTCTTTCCGGTAGAGGAAAGACTCATACACCAGGAACCTGCCGCCAAGGGACGTTCTCAGGAACTCCAGGGGCTGCTGCGGCTCTGGAGAGCAAAAGAGTATACAGTGAGGGCATCACTGGAGCCCAGGCCTTGGTGTACCAGGAAACGGTGTCCCTTGTCCCCGCAGCCGCCATTTCCCCACTCTGGTCCTGGTCTTTACCCTCTGCTTCTCCTTGGAGCCCTAGGACAGAGTTGCCAGCCCATACCCCAGCACACTCTGCTGCAGATGGGCTCCACTGGCAAGGGCTCTAGTGTGGCCTGGAGAGGCTGGTCCTGTAGGCACCCCAACTCTGAGCGGTGCCCTGACCACTCAGGCTCCTGCTGGTGCTCCCCTGGGCAGAGCACAGGCCCCCAGAAGACTGACCTAGTTTGTGCACCAGGGGCCTTCCAGCTCCCTGCCCACCCACCCTGAGGGGCCAGCTGGCAACCAACCTGACTCTCAGCTTTAAAGAAGCTGAACTGAAGCCAGAATGTGGTGGCAGCGCGCCTGCCATCCCAGTGTTCTGGGAGCCCGAGGGAGGAATGTCGCAAGCTGGCCTCCAGCCTAGGCAACTGAGCAACTAAGAGAGACTGTCTCAAAAGTAAGAAATAAAAAGGGCTGGAGAAGTATCACAAAAAATAAGAGAAGCCTCTCAACTACTGGTCATGTGATGGTGGGAGTGGGGCAGCCGGAGAACCATGTGAGAACAGAGCCATGTGAGAACAGGGGCAGGGAGAGGAGACAGACGGACCCAGTGTGCACAGAGGCTCTCCTAGGTCAGGCTCCCATTAACTGGCACTGAAAAGATCTTTTGTGGGTTCCAATGCCACTCCATACCCCAGCACCCCTTCTCTACTGGTCTGGGCTGGCTTATCCCGCCAAGGGCCATCCAGTCCAGCCCCACTGTCATGAACGACAGCTGCTGTCTTGGAGCCCACACCCAGGAGGGGATCCGGGCCCAGGGCCCCTGCGTCACCACCGCACCTGGGCCTTCCCACTGGGATAGGTTGGGGAGGTGCTCCCGCTGCCGCAGGGCCTCTAGGCCACCCAGGTCGGGCGGGTGGCAGTGCCTGCGCATGACCATCACGTGCTGGCCCTGGGTGATGGCGCGGCTGCGGCAGCCCATGCGCGCCTGGTCCCGGCACGTCCAGTACACCTTGTCTCCAGTGGCCTTCTCCCGCCTGTACAGGAAGGACTCGTACACCAGGAAGCTGCCCCCCAGAGGGGTTCGTATGAACTCCGGACCTCCTGAAGAGACAAGGGGACACCATCAGAGAGGAGGAGCTTGGAGCCCTGGCCTTGGGAAGGAAGGAGGGAGGAATGAGGGCACCCCTATTCTCAAGAGCTGAGAGCAGGTCACCCGCAGCTCAAGCATCACTCTCTGTGTTCACAGTGGGGAAGCCCTAAGGGCCAGGACACAGACCCCACATTCCCCCAGCTCGGTTCAGGACTGGCCGGGCAAGAGCCTCGGCAGGCAGAGGTGGCCACAGCGGGTCATGGCACCCACACAAGGCAACACGGTTGTGCAGAGGTGTGAGCTGAGGGCTGAGGAAGCAGGCAGAAGTGGCACTGCCCTCTGGGATGTGTTAAGCGGGGCCAGGGGGCAGCCATGCCCTGCTGCCCAGAGGACCCTCTGTGTAGGGCAGGAGCCTCACCGCCGTCATCAAACAGCAGGCAGGAAGTCATCAAATAGCTTCAAGAGCTAGGGGAGTGAGACTCCCTGAAGGTGGATGCCCTACAGAGCTGTGTAGAGGGCAACAAAGACGGAGCAGATGGGATCCAAGGGGGCAGCCGGGAGTGGGATACCTGCACAGTACAGGGCATGGGGTCTGGGGACTAGGGACACAGGGACAGCCAGCCAGGAGAAGGTGGGGACACCAGACTGAGAGGCTCATGGAGGTATGGCTCCCAGCCTTCCACACTGGATTCAAAGGTCTGTAGAGGAATAAACATGTTACAGTGCACAGGCCACAGCTTTGGAGAAGACTGGACAGTAACCAGAGACACTGAAAGAATGAGAGGTGGCTCACAGAGAACTGGGCCGGCCTGGGCAGGGAAGGAGCCCAGAGGCCAGGGCCTAGAGGCAGGAGGTTCAAAAAGGTGTGGATCTTGTGTGACCCTGCATTGGAGGCCAGAGGATGAAGGGCAACAAGACAGGTGAGCGCCCTGGCAAGGCTTGGGGACCGCGCCCAGCTCCCTTCCCTCTGAACACACTTATCCCATCACTTAAACTGAGTGTGCAGATGTAAGACCACAGGAGCAAAAGCTTAAAAACTTAAATGAGCCAGGCATGGTGGTGCACGCCTGTAATCCCAGCACTTAGAAGGCTAAGGCAGGAGGACTGCCCAAGTTCAAAGCCAACCAGTGCTACATAGTGAGTGTGAGACCAGTCTGCACTACCAAAACAGATGCTCTGTTTGTGAGGACACAAACAGTGGTGACCCCCTTGCACCCCTATCACAGCCCAGCATTCTGGGGGTGGACAGGCAGCAGCTGATCACACACAGGGTTGGCTGCACTGTCCCAGAACAGGCTCTGGAAGGCTGCAGCAGAGTCCACTGCAGTGTGTCTGGGCAGTCACCAGAGCACCAGACAGCAGGGTCACAGTGTCACCCCCCCAGGTCCGTGGCTCAGAAGGGACCTCCTCAACCTCAAGACCACAGGGAACCAAGAACGAGAAAGGCGGAGAGGCAGGGAGTTTGGTGAAGAGCCCTTGGGTGGTGGCTGGGCGTCACCAGGCCACGCCAGGCTGCAGTGGGAACCCAAGGGCTGCTGCAGCAAGACCAGGAGCAGCTTTGATGCGACTGAGTGAGCAGGAAGAAAGCAGCAGCAGGTCCCCAGAAAACCAGGTTAGAGCGCTGCTGGGCCCCAGAGGAAACAAAAAGTCACGCAGGGAAGGAAATGAACTTCCTTCTCAGCAGCACACTTGGCTAAGCAGGGGCAGATTTCTATGACAAAATGAAAACACAACTTGTGCAACAAACAGGTGTGAGGCTAACCCTTACTTTCTCTGACTGGAATTCAACAGCCAACAAAGAAATAGAAAAACCAGTCAATAGCCACAGAAACACATTTTGAAACTGGGTAAGGTGGGAGACTGTCTGCAATCCAAGCACTCTGGGAGACTGAGGCAGGAAGGGTGCCTAGGCAAGTTAGGAAGACCTGCCTCAAAATAAAAACTGCTTAGAAAGAACAGGGGAGGTGGTTCTGTGTGAAGGTCCTGTGTCAATTCCCAGTACTATGGATGCTCACATAAGAAGAGAGAGGGAAGAGGGGAAGAAGAAAGGGAGAGATATTTTCTTTTAAATAAATGGTATGGCTAGTATCCAAGGAACAAGAGAAATTTCTCAGAGTGGCAACCTGTGGGGTAGAAAGAAGGAAAGAAGGTAGGGCTGGGCAGCTGGGCCCCTCATGGTGTTCTGGAATGAAGAGTGAGTCCAAGAATAAAACCATGGCTCTCAGGGGTAGGAGAGCTGCTAGTGACTCTAAAAACTACAGGACAGGAAGGAAGCCCTAAGAGAGCTAAATGCTTGGTGGGTATAACAGCCAGCCGGCAGGCAAGGTGAGGGGGCTGCTTCCTCTCCTCAGCCAGAGGACAGGAAGGCTCCATCCTGGTGACCCTCAGTATCAAAGCACCAGGCACCATTCCCGACCTGCTAGACTGGGACAAGCAGAACAGCGAGGTGTGCTGAGGGCAGGGGGCTACGGGGAAGTCCTGGCTCCAAATAAATCTCACTTCCTCCTCAGTCCAGATGGTGAGACTGTTGTCAGCCAGAACTTGGTTCCCAGAATTTGGTTTACCTCCTTACCCAGTGAGGATGAGGGCCTAATCTCACACACTCAGCTTTCTATAGTAGAACAATAAACTCTTGAAACAACAGAGGAAGAGAAGGAAGGAAAAAAATCTGTGTTCCTTAGGAGTTCTGGGGCAGGCTGGGCTGAGCAAGGGGTGAGGGGGATGTGGGAAGGCAGGGCACCCATGGCTGAGAAGTAGAGGCAAGGTAATGGGGCACTGGAACAGGACGCGGCTCCTTCTAGAATGTTCACAGGAGGGCCAGGTGAAAGGCTGCGGGGTCTCTCCACATACCTAGGCTCTCCCGATGAGTGGGGCTGGGGTTTTTGTCCCGTTGCCGCAGCGTTTCCAGGCCCAACACATCAGGTGGGTGGCAGTGGGCTCTCATCACTGTCACCCGCTGGCCCTGGGTGATGGCGCGGCTGCGGCAGCCCATGCGTGCCTGGTCCCGGCACGTCCAGTACACCTTGTCTCCGGCTGCCTTCTCCCGCCTGTAGAGGAAGGACTCGTACACCAGGAAGCTGCCCCCCAGTGGGGTCCGAAGAAACTCAGGGCCTTCTGAGGAGATAGGAGACAGTCAGAAAGGAGTGAGGCCAGAGGTGGAGAGGAAGCTGAGGAGCCTGGGGTGGCTGGGCAGGCAGTTCCCCAGCACCCTGAAGCAGCACCTGAGGCATCAGCCCCCAGGGATGAAGGCTTACCAGGGTCTATATCCTGGTCCTCTTCAGGGGATTGCTGTGAGGCTTGGACTTTCGCTTTCTTTCTGGGCCGGGCCCTGGTGAGGGTAGGGGCCTGCAGCCCCTGGTGATGGATCAGACTGTCCACACCTTGGAGCAGCTTGTCTTTGCAGCCCCCAGGGCGAGCTGGCCTGGGCCGAGGTGGTCGCATGGTCTTGTGCTGCTGCCGCCGCAACTGCAGGGCCTCCTTGTCAGGTGAGTGGCAGTGGCTTCGCATCACTGTTATTTTTGGGCCCTGGGTGATGACACGGCTGCGGCAGCTATGCAGTGTGTGGTCCCGGCATGTCCAGTACACCTTGTCACCCACAGTCTTCTCCCGCTTGTAGAGGAAGGACTGGTGCACAAGGAAGGTGCCCCCGTAGCACGTCCTCAGGAACTCCACGCCTGCAGGCAGGCCTGCAAGGAGCAATCAGGGCGGTCCAGCAGGCAGAGCAGGAGACTGACCAGGACAGTGCCTTTCTCCTGCCCCACTGGCCAGGCACCTGCACTGGGTAGCCCAGGAGCCACCCAGGAAGGACCCCACTCCTCTTCCATAGCAGGGAGCACCTGAGGGGTTCCATACCATGTCCAAGGTGACACCAGAAATGCTAAGCTGGCAGACTCTTGACCATACTTTGTACACCTTGTTTAAAATTTTTATCTACTTTCTGAATATACACACTAATATTGCTATAAAACTCAAATGTAACTGAAGGATCTAAAGTGAAAAAGAAAATCAGGCTCTCCTGCCCCGCCCCTTCCCCCACTCAGCATTGTGTGATGCTTAAATCTTGATCCCAGCTGGGCAGAGAGCAGCTTAATGATTACCAGGATACAGTCAAGTTCTTCCAAGTTATTGAGACCCTGAGCACACGTTTTGTTTTGTTTTGAGACAGGGTCTCCCTGTGCAGTTCAGGTTGGCCTCAAACTCGTGGCAATCCTAATTCCTGGGTCTCCTGAGTACTGGGATCACAGACATGTGTCACCATGCCCAGCCTCCCTCAGCACATTTTAAAACAAGATGTGGAACCTCGCAATTCTACTCAGGCAGAAATAAGCCTGTGGGGTCCCCAGCAGGTAGGGGAGGCAGGTACTCACCCATGCCCCGCGTCCTGCGTTTCTTGAGTGGCAAGCTCATAAGGGGCAGGGTCTGAAGCACCTGCTGCCTCTCTGGCTCCGGCTCGCTCTGTACCTGCTGGGGGGCAGGCTCTGGTCCCTGAGGGCATAGCCATGGGCTCACTTCCTTGAGTAGCTCCTCCACTGGGCCTCCAGCAGGACCCTGGGAATCCCCCAAGCTCTCCAGCAAGGCTGAGTTAGGAAGTTTTTCTTTTTGGCGCCGCGCCGCTAGGCCCTCCTCGTCCGGCGGGTGGCAGTGGTCCCGCATCACTGTAGCCTTCGTGCCCCGGGTGATGGCCCGTCCCCGGCAGCCCAGCTCAGCATGCTGGCGGCACTTCCAGTACACCTTGTCCCCTACAGCCTTCTCCTGCTTGTACAGGAATGACTCAAGGACAAGGAGGCGGCCCCCAAATGGGGTTTTCAGGAACTCCAGGGGCTGGGAGACTTGGGGAAAAGAGAAAGCTGTGTTAGCTGCCTGGGGGCAAGAGCCAAAGAGGGCTGTGTGTGGGTCCTGTGGGCAGGGAGAGGGCAGTTCAGCATGGGGAGGGTATCTCCTCTTATTTCTGACTGCTGGGCAAGAAGCCCAGACTCTTGAGGCTTGTTTTATGGGGAGGGGAAGTATTTTAAGGAGCTGAAGGAAGCCTGGACATCACTGCAATTCTCATGAGCTCCAGGGGCATGTAATGTCAGGGAGGTGCTACATGATACAGGGATGACATCAGGTGACAGGGTTAGGGTGGAGATTAGAGTCCATAAGCCTTCTGTGAGCAGGGCTGGCACATCGAGGTCGCCCTGCTAGGCAAGGGGTACACAGCCTCGTGTCTCAGCATGCAGACCTGCCAAAGGAGTGGGGCCTACGGAGCAGCCCACATGCCTTACCTGGCTCCAGCTTGCTGCGCTTCAGCCCAGAGGACCACATGCGTGGCGGTACCACCTGTACCTGCTGCTCCTCCTCCTCAGCTGGCAGGAGGGTGCTGGTCAGGGTGGAGGGGTCAATCAGCTCCAGGGAGAGGACACAGTGTACCTCCGAGGGATCACAGCCCACCTGGCCGCCCGCCTGGTCTGACGGCAGCAGGACCAGATTGGAGAACTCCGCCGCAGCAGCACCCATGCTGGGCCCCAGGGATGGCTCCTGGGCAGCCTTCATACTCTTGCCCTCCTGCTCACCAGGCTCAGGCAGGGGCATCCTGGCACCTTCAGCTCACTCTCGACCTGGGCAGATGAGCTCTTCTTCCTCCCTGGCCTGGAATCTGCCCATCTAGACTCTGTCCTGCAGGAGGAGGTAAATTCTCAGTCAGCGGTGAAGCCCTTGGACCTGGGCTGGAGCTGGGCCAGGTGGGCCAGCAGGAAGCCTTGAGGCCGTAAACTGGGAGGTTGGGAAGAGACCTGACAGATAAGAATCCTTGAGCCCATGCTTCTGCTCTGTGGTTCCTTTCCCAGGGCCTTGGAGACATCGCCTCCCCATCCAGGCCTCACTTCCCCATCTGTAAACTGCACCCAGTACATGCCTGTCCCCAGGGGCTGGTAGGTAACAATGCACTAATAAGTGACTTTCTACCTACGGAGCCTCAGCCTTGTCTGGGCCCAACACAGAGGTAGTGTCCGCATCCACTTTTCCGTTTAACCTCCAGTCCCCAGGCTATGAGCAGGCCATTTTATTTATTGATTGATTTTTAATGTATTTGGTACAGGGTCTCACTACATAGTCTCACTACTTGTAGTGATCCTCCTGTTTTCAGCCTCCTCAACACTGGGATTACAGGCATGCACCACCATGGCCTGGTCTCAGGGGTTCACTCAGTGTGCCCAGGGGCAAAGTGGGTGTGGCATGTGATGCCAGGAATCAAACCCTGGTCCCTGAACTTGCCTAAGCAGGTACTTAGTCCACTAAGCTATCAACCTGATCAGGCCATTCTTATGGACCCCCTTTACTGATGAGGACATGCAGGTTATAAACCCTATATGGGGGGCTGGTGAGATGGCTCAGTGGTCTAAAGTACCTACTTAGAACAAGCTTAGCAAAGCACAGGGACCGCGGTTCAATCCCCCAGCACCACATGCCAGCCAGCCCTGCCCCCTGGTGGGTTGAGCTGGCCACACACACACAAATATACACACACACATAAATAAATAAATAAAAATTAAAAAAAAAACCCTATATGGTTTTGTTTGTGGTACTGGAATAAAACCTTGTGCTTGCCAGGCAGGCACCATTCCACTGAGCTGCATCCCTGGCCGATGTTTAAACCCTACTGTTTCTGCTCACCCACCAGGACCTGGCCAGGATGCTGTGCAGAGCCAGTTCATAGCTTAGTCTAGAGCCTGCCCAGGCCTTGGAGGATGACAGGGCTCAGCTAAAAAGTGGCCATGTGCCTGAGCCGCTGCTGGAGTGACCTCAGCCAGGCAAGGATAGGGCTACCCATGGGCTGGAGGACCCCTCAAGGTCACTGGGGGCTCCCAGGCTTCTGGCCTAGAAAAGATGCCAGGGTGGGGCTGGCGTGGCCTGTGGAGAGGCCTGCAAGGCTGCCACAAGTCATCAATGTGGTTGGCGTTTCTGGGGCGACTGGCTCTTGGTAGCTCTTCATACTTCCCAATAGCAGCCCCTCCCTAAACAAGACTGTAGCTCCCTGATATTTTCAGCATCCTTACCTAGAACTGTTCCTGCTATGACAGTAGCACTCCAGGAGGTTGAGGCAAGAGGGCCTCAAGTTACCCAGTGTGGCAACTTAGAAACTTAGTGAGACCCTGTCTCAAAATAAAAATGTTTTTTAAAAAAGCTGGGGATATAGCTCAGCGTGATGGCCCTGGCTTTAAGCCCCAGCACTCCCCCCCCCCCACAGCTGCATACGCATGTATGTACACGTACACACACACACACACACACACAGACAAAACTTCCAAGACTGACATGCATCAAATGTGGAAAAGCTCCACCAGAACAAAAGGCCTACCCTGTGCTGACCAGTCTTCCCTGCTTGCTACCAACTAGATTTGCAGTTGATGTACTATTCCCATGTTCACCCATTAAAGGGCTGGGTGTGGTGGACTGTCTACATGAGCACAAATCTGCAGGGACACTATTTCCACCTGTGACTCTTGCATTGGTCTCAGTAGTTGCCTGCGCCCAACAGTGTGGCAGGAAGAGGCTTCAGCAGCCACAAGCCCTCACCTCATGGGCCAAGAGAGGGAAGCTTTACAGAAGGCCACACACAGGCACTGCAGTGCTGCCAGACCCAGAGGCAATCATCTAGTACCTTGTGGCTTGGCAGCCCTACTCCAGCTACGTAGATACTTGAAGGAGCCTGGGAAACCACAGTGGGTCAGGCCAGGTACCCAGAGCCCACAGCAACGACTGACTACTGTGATTGTGCGTGTGCAGTGTGGGGGAACGGCACCCACGGCTTGCGCATGCTAGGCAAGCACTCCACCCCTGAGCTCTACTCCGGCCCTTTACAGTTTGAGGCAGGGTTTTGTCATATTTCCAGGTGGGCCCTAACAACACTGTGAACCTTCCACCTCAGCCTCCTGACTAACTGGGAGTACAAGTCTATGTCACCACATCCAGCTAATTGGTGTTTTTTAAGGCAGGAAGACTAGAGGTCATTTGTCACACAGCAGTAACCAAATATATAATGGATATATTTGATAAGTGACTGAACCTAATGGGTTGATGCATGGAATCATACAAATAAACGGCTGGGAAGTACCTGACATAAATGTACTCCACAGTGGCCGTATTGCACCAATGCAGATGACTGCATGTAAAGGGCTTGTAACCCAATGAGGAAAACAAAAATATTGAGTATAATGGACATCAAATGAGAATTAGACATTTATTCATTTATTAATTATGTGTTTGGTACAGGGTCTAACTAAGCAGCTTGGACTCATTGTGGTCCTCCTGCTTTTGGCCTCCCCAGCACTGGAATTACAAGCATGTGCAACCACACCCAGACTCTGCGCCACCATGCCCAGACTCGGTGGCCAGCTCAGTGAGCCTGGGGATGGGGCCAGTGCAGCATGTGGTGCCAGGACCAAACCCTGGTCCCTATGCTTGTCTAAGCAGGTGCTTAGTCCACTGAGCTATCTCACTGGCCCTGTGAAGTAGACTTTTTTTTTTTTTTTGGTGGAACTGGGGATTGAACTCAGGCCCTTGCGCTTGCCAGGCAAGCACTTATTCTACTGAGCCATCTCCCCGGCCTGAATTAGACATTTAAAACCAACTGTAGCCAGCTGTGGTGGTGCATGCCTGAAGAATCAGGACTCTGGGAGCCTCAGGCAGGCTGACTGCAAATTTGAGCCCAGCCCCGCCAGCTCCATGACTGAGCAAGACCCTGTCTCTAAAGGCTGCAGCTGGGCATTGTAGCACATGCCTGTGATCACAGCTCTTGGGAGAGTGAGGCAGGAGGATTTCCATAAATTCAAGGCCAACCTTGGCTAAATAATGCCTGCTTCAAAAAAAGAGGGGGCAGAGTGGAAACATGGCTCAGTATGAGGGCCCTGGGTTCAATCGCCAACACCTGGGAAAGTAACTGCAACACAGTGCTTGCTTTGAAGGCACATATACCAATAACTATAGCACAAAGTAAGCAGGACACAAATGACAAATACTGTATGAGGCCACTTATATGAGGTTCCTACAGGGGTCAAACCCACAGAGGCAGAAAGTAACATGGTATGTGTGTCAGGGGCTAGAGAGAGGGAGTGGGGACTTAATCTTTTTTTTTTTAAATTGTGTGTGTGTGTGTGTGTGTGTGTGTGTGTG